ATATATATATATATATATATTTTTATTTTTACACAACATTGCTTAATGTAAATTTACAGTGCATAAATATTAAAAATTAACTGATGGAAAATATGTTTTTTTTTCGCTACACAGTAATAACCATGTTTAAAAAATGGAAGCTAAAAACTTTAAATTTGATTATATAATTAAATTAAAAGCATTAGTTCCGTTTCATCTTCAAGCGAATATTGGAATAACTTATTTTTAAATTTACTGAGTTTTAAACGCACATATATATTCATAATTTCCTGTTTCCAAGGATACAGAGGAATCCAATCATTTAGACAGGGGCTGTAGCGTGTTCATTTTTATTAACTATTGTTGTATCAATTATGAGTTACGTTCGAAAAAGAGGTTAAGTTTAGGGAGGGTAGGGGTGTATTTTTCAACGAATTCTGACATCCGTTAAATGCATGTCGTCTGTTGTTTTGCTTTGTTTTTTTCGTTTTTTTTATTAACGACAAAACTTTTAAGGTATTGTTTTCTTACTTGTATACTTAAACATTCTTTTTTACGTTTTATTTAACTACAATTTTAAAATATTTTTACTCTTAATTACTAATAGACTATATTTCTTTTTTAAATATATATATCCAAGTATAGGTGTATACGGAATAAATTCCAATAACCAAAAAATGCAATTCTTAAAAGAATGCTCAATATAGAGTAGAGCAAATATAATTATTTATTCGAAAATTATAACAGAAAGGGTCGTGGATACCTATTTCCTGTCTCGTCGCTTTTTTGCGTGTTTATCTATCTAAATATTTATACGTGTTTGTGTATCATTATCTGATTGTGTATGTATTGTCTTTTGCAAGATTTCATCCTCCCCTGCCCATATCTTCACTTCCAATATATCTTGTAATGGATGTCGGAGCAACATTAGATTTTAACGTTTCTTACAACTTAAATTTGTCCTTTCAATAAAAACAAAATAAATAACAAATCATATGTATTTTTCCTCTCCTTTCTTCTTTAAATAATATTATATTTTTTTTTAATTTAATATAGATTAAATTTAAAATGTAAAATTGGTAATTTTTAATTTCATACTATAATATATTAATTACTTAGAATGAATTCTATTTTAGTCTACCCGAACATTAAAACATTAAATAATATTTATTATAACCAAAGTTTGTTGTCAAGTTTTTTGAATTCTCATATACTTGTATTTTGATTGGTCATTCCAGCTTATGTAACAGCGTTTCCCCTTAGCGAGGGGGTGTTTGATTGATTTGAACCTTTTAAAACCCTTTATTCTACATTCAACACCATTACTTGATGAGACACCAGAAGTGTTGAAACAAAATGGGTACTATTGTAGTGATTTTAGAACATATTTATGTTACAATTTTCGAATAAATAATTATATATATATATATATATATATATATATATATATATATATAATTAAAATATGATTCCAACACGGTACATAAGAGGTCTCATGTTTCAAAACAAGACCCGAAAACTTCAATATAATTATTTGAATTAAATTGAATTAAAGTAAGCTCTGTTCCATCTTCAAGCGAATTTTTTTTTTTTTTTTTGGAATAACTTATTTCTGAAATTTACGTGTTTTAATAGCATATTCATTATTGAAATCAAAATTTCTATGGTAACGGCTAGAGCGATTGTTTAAATAGGGAGGGGTGTTGAGTGTTAATAATAGGTATCAGTATAGAGTTACATTCATAGATGTCAAGTCAGCGTAAGGTTGGGGTGTCTAAATTTAAAACGGAAGATGTTTTCGCCGAGTCTGGTTTACGTGTCTATGGAGATTAATTAATTTTTTTTATTTTATTTCTTTCTCAAAGGGATTTTTGTATATATAAAAAAAAACTGCCATAACATTTGTTTTTTGACGACTTCATAAAGGGTTATCTTTTTTTGTAGGCTATTTAAACTATTTATTAGGGCTATGGATTATAAAAATTATTTTATTATTTGTTTGTTTTTATGCTAATTATTCAATGCAAAAATTTGATGATGTCGAAAAAACCGTTAACTCATGTCTATTGTTTAATACATTTTTATTATTTAGAAACTTAGTAATGTGTAGTTTCTCCTGTAGGCATAAAGGGCATGGGTCATCCCAAGTTTTACAATATATATATTGGCTGTTTATTTTTACAATATATATATATTTACAATATATATATATATATATATATATATATATTTACAATATATATATATATACAATATATATATTGGCTGTTTATATTTACGTCTGTGAGTATTTACATTGTTAATTCTAAAGGCAATAGACACATTTACCGCTTACACCGAGTACGTATTACCACTGGGAAATTAAATTTATAAAATCTTTCTCATAAAACAATTTTTAAAGAAAATCGTTTTCTCAAGTACTGTAGCTGTTATCCCTCTTTCAAGTATCGATTGGGGTTTCCTTCCTAACCTTTTGTTTGAAGTAGTGTGGAACGTCAATTTTCTCGTATGTCGTATGACATTTTGTTTGATTTATACGTGCTATACATTTTAGTTGTTACTGTCTGTGAAGGTTTGTGTTGCGGGCCAGTGAACGCTTTGAGAGATAAACACGTGTGTCTCCTGAAATACCCACAACCAACATGGCAGGCTCAGAGTAGACGCCCACCTAAAGAAAATGTAAAGAGACAATAAGACCAATTATGTGTACAAACAAATGATAATGTATTAACAAAAAAGAATATTGTTCTGTTACTAAACAACGAGCTTTAGTGGAGAAAACATTTAATCTAGTGAATTGTTTGCGTATGTGCAGTTTGATGTAGAAGAAATTCCTAGAAAAGTTTAAGTGAAAGGTGTGTACGTACGTGTGTGTGTATTGTTTATCCGTGTCCCAAAACGGGAACGCGTTCTTCCGCGAGAAATTTACATGTTGACGTCTATGCGGAAGGAATGAGAAAAAGAGGGCGAGAAATGATGTCGCTGAGTATTTATAGAACCGGAAAGCGTCCCCTAGTAGCGGTTTCGAAAATAAGGAGGACGTAAGCCGACAGTGATGCCGTTTTTGTTATTTGGTACTGCTCTTTGTTTTTGATTCTGTAGCGATAGTTCACATGGTTTGAAGAAAGATGGTATTCGCTAAGGCTTACAGGTTTCATTTGCTCAAATATATTTTTAACCACTAATCTGAGAAATTTGTTGTATAGAGCTGAGAGTTTAGATATTTCTGAATGGGTGTGGCACCATGCATGAAATTCATATGAAAACATATATATAAGTAGGGTATTGAAGAATTTGACACCACTACTTTTTTTTTATGTTAATGTTGCGAAATATTTAAAAATATGGGCGAAATTGCTAAGAGCCAGTTGTAGGTTCACTTTGTTTTTCTATATATCTTATAAACAAACCTATCTCGGTTTATTTGAAGTGATTAGCCTTTGCCAGATAGACATAAGGTGAAGGTATATATTATTCGTCTATAATTATTTTCTTGATTTCTGGAAAGGTAATTATTAGTCGCTTTATAATGATTACATGTTTCCCGAAAAGGTAATTATTAGGCGCTTTATAATGATTAGATGTTTCCCGGAAAGGTAAGTATTAGGCGCTTTATAATGATTACATGTTTCCCTGAGAGGTAATTGTTAGGCGCTTTATAATGATTACATGTTTCCCGGAAAGGTAATTATTATGCGCTTTATAATGATTACATGTTTCCCTGAATGGTAATTGTTAGGCGCTTTATAATGATTACATGTTTCCCTGAAAGGAAATTATTAGGTGCTTTATAATGATTACATGTTTCCCGGAAAGGTAATTATTAGGCGCTTTGTAATGATTACATGTTTCCCGGAAAGGTAATTATTAGGCGCTTTATAATGATTACATGTTTCCCGGAAAGGTAATTATTAGGCGCCCATATTATTTTTTTATCCATCTGTTAAGTAGCGTATTCTCAACTCGATCGGCAAAGACTTCACCTGTCTTCATTTTCAAACGCATACGTTTTATTTTTATTAATAATATTTCGATTGAATATTTCGTGCCTATGTCTTCGGAGAAATTGAAGATATTTAATATACTCATCTGTGCGAAAAGAGAAGGAAACATTTTCTCTTTTAGGAATTAGAATTCCTTTATTGGTTGCAAAATATATAGAAAGCATTTTTAGCGTAGTAACAATACCCTTAAGTTATTTTCTTTCAAATATTTGCACACTGACATGAAGTGTTTTCGTTTTTACTTCTTGATTAGTTCCCCAGTGACTAATATTTACCTTTCCTAAAATAAAGAAAAGAAATTTGCTTCTCATCCTTACATTATTCTTCGAAACAACTTCGACCGCCAATGTCGACTATTGCTTAAATTATCAGTAAGCTGTAGTGTTGAGTGGACGAACTTTATTTAAGCGTACGGTAGATGAAATCAACGAACATAGTTCAAATCCCGATGAAGCTTCTCTGTATTTACATTCTGTTTGGAAAGCCAGGAATCCATATTTCAAAATTGATCAAATCAGAGCATATTTCCTGCTAATTCATTTACAATGCTTCTAATTTCAAAACATGGCTCTCCCCAACTTCCTATTACTTGTAGACGTTAGAAGCGTTTGCCATTTTGCCCAGCCTCCCACAACCCGTTCCATCATCCAGTAGGTGGCCCACTGTCATCCCTAGACTCTCTTTCATTTGATATGCACTGTGTCAAATTCTCCAAACATCCTTTCTCATTATGTGTCCAAGAATTTTCAGCGTTCACTCGTTTTGAGATTTTTTGTTTCTATTTTCCTTTAAACTTATTCGCTGTTCTGTCCATAATATTCTTGCTATCCTTCTATAGAGGGACATTTCTTTTACATCAAGTTTACCTTTCTTCATCCATTAAAAAATAACGTTTACGCAAAAAAATTAAAATATGTTAGAGAAATAAATGGAAAATCCATTCCGAAAAAGACTGATATTTACAGATAGACGGATAGATATGAAACAGACCGCGATAGATGGATATATATGAACAAACTAAAATAGATGTATAGATATGAACAGACCAAAATAGACAGATATGAAAAAACTTACATGGATAGATATGAACAGACCAAAATAGACAGATATGGACAGACCGAGATAGATGGATAGATATGAACAGACCAAGATAGACACATATGAAAAAACCGAGATAGATGGATAGATATGAACAGACCAAGATAGACACATATGAAAAAACCGAGATAGATGGATAGGTATGAACAGACCAAAATAGACAGATATGAACAAACCGAGATAGATTGATAGATATGCACTGACCACAATAGACAGATATGAACAAACCGAGATAGATTGATAGATATGCACTGACCACAATAGACAGATATGAACAAAGCGAGATAGATTGATAGATATGCACAGACCAAAATAGACAGATATGAATAGAAACTGAGATAGATTGATAGATAGAATCAAAATAGACAGACTGAACAAAACCACAATAGACAGATATGAACAAAACTGAGATAGATTGATAGATATGCACTGACCACAGACAGATATGAACAAACGGGAGATAGATTGATAGATATGCACCTGACCAAAATAGACAGATATGAACAAACCGAGATAGATGGATAGATATGACAGACCAAAATAGGAGATATGAACAAACTGAGATAGATGGATAGATATGCACAGACCAAATAGACAGATATGAACAAACCGAGATAGATGGATAGATATGCACAGATAGATATGAACAAACTGAGATAGATGGATAGATATGCACAGACCAAAATAGACAGATATGAACAAACCGAGATAGATTGATAGATATGCACAGACCAAAATAGACAGATATGAACAAACCGAGATAGATTGATAGATATGCACAGACCAAAATAGACAGATATGAACAAACCGAGATAGATTGATAGATATGCACAGACCAAAAATAGACAGATATGAACAAAGGAGATAGATTGATAGAGCACAGACCAAAATAGACAGATATGAACAAACCGAGATTGATTGAGATATGCACAGACCACAATAGACAGATATAAACAAACTGAGATAGATTGGATAGATACAATAGATAGATGAACAAACCGGAGATAGACCACTGACCAAAATAGACAGATATGAACAAACTGAGATAGATGGATAGATATGCACAGACCAAAATAGACAGATATGAACAAACTGAGATAGATTGATAGATATGCACAGACCACAATAGACAGATATGAACAAACCGAGATAGATGGATAGATATGCACAGACCACAATAGACAGATATGAACAAACTGAGATAGATGGATAGATATGAACAAAAATAGACAGATATGAACAAAACTGAGATAGATGGATAGATATGCACAGACCAAAATAGACAGATATGAACAAAACTGAGATAGATGGATAGATATGCAGACCAAAATAGACAGATATGAACAAACCGAGATAGATTGATAGATATGCACAGACCAAAAATAGACAGATATGAACAAACCGAGATAGATTGATAGATATGCACTGACCAAAATAGACAGATATGAACAAACCGAGATAGATTGATAGATATGCACAGACCACAATAGACAGATATGAACAAACCGAGATAGATTGATAGATATGCACAGACCACAATAGACAGATATGAACAAACCGAGATAGATGGATAGATATGCACAGACCAAAATAGACAGATATGAACAAACCGAGATAGATTGATAGATATGCACAGACCAAAATAGACAGATATGAACAAAACGAGATAGATGGATAGATATGAACAGACCAAAATAGACAGATATGAACAAACCAAGATATTGATAGCTCGGCAAACACGGATTTTAAGTTAATGAAACTCTTGTCCATTTATTCTATCAATTTATAGTGAGCATTTTAGTCTTTTTCTCTTGTTCTGAAGCATATTTTTGACATCTTCGAGTTGATATTTACTTCCTTGTCACTTTACTTCATTAGCTTATATGTAGTTAACTGCGGCACTGAGATCCGTAAGCGTTATTGGGATGGCCAAGGACACATTCCAAAAGCTGGGCAAAGTATTGCGAGACAAGAGGATTTATTTGGTAACTAAGAAAAGAATACTGAGCTGTTACGTGACATCTGTCCTTCTTTACGGCAGCGAATGTTGGACGATTTCCTCAAAGATGAAAAAGAGACTCGAGGCGACGGAGATGTGGTTCTACAGAAGAATTCTAAGGATGTCATGGACCGAGCGTGTGAGAAACGATGAGGTATTAGAGAGGTTGCAAACAAAGAGGAGGTTTATAATTAACATCAGGAAGAGGCATCTGAAGTTTCTGGGACATATAATGAAGAAGGAGGACCTGGAGAATCTGATACTCACAGGTCGAATAGCGGGAAAGTGAGATAAAGGAAAACAACGCCTGACATACCTGGCGGGATAAAGCAAATGGATGACAGAACGTGGTCTGGGGGAGGTAGCAGAGGGAAGGAAGTTGTTGAGAGCTGCAAGAGATAGAGGGAGATGGAGCGCCATAATCGCGTATGCCGTGAAAGGACATAGTACATAAAAAGAAACGCCTGCAATCAACCCATCAATTAAATAAACATTTCATAATCTTAAGCTTCATGAGACAATCTGAAATTATTTGATAAAAGAATCTAGCACAGATTTTGCTTTTGGCATCTCATTTCGCTGTGTTTCTGAGAACGAATATCATACAGTAAAACCTCGAATTAACGGTCCCGGAACTAACGGACTACGAATTTAACTTTAAAAGTTTCCAAACTTTATTTAAAGGGATGTAGTAACTTAAAAATAAAATAACCCTGCATAGATACTGTATTTACATTTATTTCGAATATTTTTTTTTTATTATACTGTGTGTTTTCAGGCTACGGAAAAAAGGCTTCAAATTAACGTATCTCAAATTAACAAACGATCACCTTTATTAGTCCGTTAATTTGAGGTTCCCCTATTCATATATAGTGGGTTTGGTCTGCGTGATCTGATCTTTCCATTAAAATAAAAATAATTTGGTTGAAAGTCTAAGAGAAAGACAATAGTTGACTGCTGATTTAGAAACTCCACCCTGTAAAATCTTCAATTTTTTTTTTTTTGTTACAGAAAACATAACGACGTCAACATGGGTGGTGATCCTTTGACTCTGTATATGTTAGGTTGTCGATATTTTTAACCGTTCGACTGAGCTAATATTATTCTTGACATATATATCTTTTTTCCTGTTGCAGGTAAACAGTTTTGTGGGAGCTTTTCACGATGCTGTCATTTTGTACGCATTGGCATTAAACGAAACACTAGAAGCTAAAGGATCTATCACAAATGGCAAGGAAATCACCAGACGAATGTGGAACCGGACATTTGAAGGTAAGCATTTTTAGGCATTTAAATCAATATGCCTGGCTGCATACATAATTCCGGAAAGTCCTAATTGAAAATACAACTATACTTAAACATGAAACCAATTAACAAAAACTAAAATTCTTGAAGCTATATACATAAAACAGTTGAAACCTAACCTGAACAAAATAAACTATGAAATCTTCACAAATATTCTTATAATTGATAACAGAAGTCATTGGTTTATACCAACGTCTTCCCATACTTAATACTTCTCGTTTTCACTCTCGCGTGGTCATGTGTGACGTCATGAGCTGCGGTGCGATTTTCGAATCCAGCGTCTCGTATGCACGAGTTTGTCGCTTGGAAATCTCCCATGTAAACAAAAACAGACTATCATTGTTGTTTTGTCCGTGTTTTGTTTAATATATTGTAATGTAATTGTCATCTTTGAAAATGGCTTATGTAAGCCGAAAGCTTAGATAGGATTAAAAAAATATGTATCAATATGGTGATTTTCTTTCGTCTTTTAATGATAATATTATTAAAATTATATGACGATATGAAAAGAATTTACATAAAATAAATGAACAAAACTTGTCTATATTATTTTATGAAACATACATCAATATAAATCTATATATGAGATGTGGAGGCACGGTTGAGTAATGGATAGCGGCTTGGATTGAGGAATCGGAGAGCCGAGTTCAAATTCTAACCCTATCCCCCAGCCATTACTTTCCTTCTTTTTTTTTTTCTTGCCCCTCTTAATTTATTTAAACCGACCAGAAATATTTTTTTAGGTCATGTTAAATCTCTTATTATTATTATTAGTCTGGATTATTTTTCACCTTTTTTTTCTTTTTCGCTCTTTTTACTTTTTCTTTTCTTTTCATCCAGTTTTATGTTTTGTTTTTTGTTTTTTTTCCTCTTTTTTTTCTTCTTTTCTTTTTATCCGATTTTGTCGAGTTTATTTTTTAATTTAACATTTTTGAATTGTCTGGCTGAATTTATTTATTAAAATGTATCGGTCTGAATGGACAGTTAAAAATTATTATATTTATTATCATCTTTAATGTGATTTTAAGTGTTTTATTTTTAGTATGAATTACACACACACACACAAACACACATATAAATATGTATATTATAATTACTTTTTTAAAATTATTTTTTTTAATTTCTAAATTTTGATTCCTAAAGTTTCACTTGAGGATGAAACAGGGCTTGTTACTTTAATTCAATTTAATTTTAATAATTATATTGACGGTTTCGGCTCTCGTTTTTGAAACATGAGAATTCTGATGTAGCGAAGGAATCATATTTTTTAAAAAAATAATTATAATCTAAGTTCTACTTCTGTATGCAGCACTGTTTTTTTAGAAATAAAAAAATACTAAAGAATCCAGGATTATTTACCTAACGTGTTCTTTCCTATTTTTCTACACACACACACACACACACACACACACACACACACACACATACAGAGAGAGAGAATAATCGTTGAAATCAAATAAAGTATCAGACGAAATTACTTAGGATTAAAAAGTAATCTAAAAGAAAAAGTTAACATGAATTTTGTAAAAATTACGATAAAACAAAACAACTTATTCGGAAACTTGAAAGATTCAATAAAAACAATGGGAGTGTGACCTTGTCAATATTATATAAAAAATATGTTTGAAAATTTTTTAGCGTATTTATTTTTAGAAACACGCCCAGTGACCGACAGTGACTCAATTCGCATCTGCGAAGAATCTCGCTATATAGCTATAATAGTCACTGTTTACCAACCCATACCTCGTCCCCAGAGAGCTCAATTGAAATTGATATTTCAGGAGCCAATATAACGTCATCCACAGACAGACTGTTTCGCTGTTTCACTGCTCATCAGTGTGGCTAGACATCCGTTATATTTATATATATATATATATATATATATATATATATATATATATATATATAGGTATATATATATATATATATAACATTTTTTCAGAAAGGATTTGTTTGGAAGATAACACAATCGCAAAAACGCGTTTGATTTTTTTTCTCTTTAATGGATTTAAAATTTAAACTTCCAGTCCAGATAATGTCATGCAAGTCCTAAATTTACGTGAATCTGAGTTCAGTTTTGAATACTGAATACATTTTGGGGCTGTAACAATAGTTTAGAATTTTTTTATATATATATATATATAAGTATATAACCTCTATCATGTGTAAGTGAATAATTTGAATCTTTTTTGTTTTACTTATGAGTTTCGTCCTAAACACCTATAAACAAAAGAACTATGTGACTGGTTTAATATGATGGTTTATAGTGATGCCAAATTTTTTTGCTGAAAAAATAGAACCTATTTCAAGTGGTGCAAAATCAGTAAAATGATTCCTAATTGATCTGCGCAATATTAAACGAATATTAGCCTATTTAGCATACTAAAAGTTGATTGAATAACTCAGTGGGAAAACCCAGTACTTGGCATTCAGTTTATACCAACATTGTGAAAGTTTTTAATCAATTTATTGGACAGGTTTTGAAATATTAAAAAAGTTATCTTGATAATAATTTATCTCACGCAGTAACGAGAGTTATATATATATATATATATATATATATATATATATATATATATTCTTGTATATTCCACAGAAGTGTCCCTTTAATGTTATATGAAATCGTATATGACGATAATATATAGCATGAAACAGACATAACTGCTCTGCCTGTTGACTTCTATGTTCACTTTTATATCTACACGCTCTATCTCCTGATATTAGGCACTTTATCCCATGAAATATAGCACACCTTAAGACTATGCCCTTAATATATATATATGTATATATATATATATATATATATATATATGTCATGGAAAATAAGGATTTATTTCAACCTTAGGTCTCTGGGCTAGACCGGAAAAGAAATGGCACACGCCAGAAATCAAAGGAAATAATAATAATATTCTTGCCGTCTCCCTTCTGGGATCATCTCTTTCTACAACGTCTTGTCCTTTGTAGGTTTTATTAAGATCGGTCTATTTGCTATCTCTACTAATCCCTGCTGTGCCAACCATTTACACAAGCTTGTTGGGTAGGTTATGCTCTGATCTCCTCTGTCTCTCCTTCCTTCAATTTCTTCTGTGACAATCAAAGATTCTAAATCTTTCCTTATTATATTCCCTAGAAATGTCTACTATCTTTTTCTGATTCTTATTATGAATATTCTTTTAGTTTCCATTTAATCTAAAAATTCCTTCTTGTTCATTCCGTGGTATTCTCAGCAAGATTCTGTTGAACCGCATTTTTCTTGCTTCAAGATTCTCCTTTATCTATGTAGATTTTATCCAATATTCCCTGACATATAGGAAAATTTATATTACATAAAAATCCTGGCCTCTTTTCTTTGTTTCTAACGAAATATATCTGTGTCTAAATACTTTGCTTAGCTTCTTAAGCGCGTTCTATTTTAGAAAACATGATTCTGATTGCATAAACTATGAATTACTGGTTTTCCTTGCTA